AAGCGCAGTGAACAAACAGAAAAGATTGGAGTTCGCCCAATTACATTTAGATTGGAGCGATGAACAATGGAGTCGCATACTGTGGACTGATGAAACCTCGTGTCACAAGAAAAGTACGTTTAAATTCTATCTAAATCTTCCTTTTACTAACAGCAGAGTTTAGCCTGATGATGAGTTTGATGAGACTTGTATTGTGGCTCGCCATGCTCATGGGAACAGCTGGATGTTTTGGGGATCATTTTATGGATCACAAAAAGGCCCATTCCTAGTCTGGGAGAAGGATTGGGGATCAATGAGGGCCTCATCCTTTTGTGAAAGGATTTTGCCAATTTTGAATCAATTTCACTCGGAAAATCCAGAAATTTTATACATGCACGACAACGCACCATGTCACAAAGCGTACTCAACAATTGGGGCGCTGCGTGAGGTTGGAATAACGCCTATTAGATGGCCACCTTACTCTCCGGACCTGAACCCGATTGAGTCATTGTGGAATATCTTGAAAAACCACATTCAGGTAAATAGTCCAGAGAAAAATGGGGTCAGGCTTGTGCGCTCTGCCACGTTGAAGACATTGCTTCAGGATGCATGGGACTCTATATCTCCAGAGGAGCTATTGTCACTAGTTGGCAGCATGCACGAAAGATGTGTAGCAGTGATAAAGGCAAATGGAGGGTACACAAAGTATTAGGATGGAGAAGACACACAAAACATGTAGTACGCTTTCATTTTAGTTGCGAGCCATACTGAGGGCTTCGATGTAGACTTTTGTAATACAGAGCAATAATTTTTGAAATAGATGTGCATTTTTAGAGACTATCAACTGACGTTTTTCAATTTTGAATTTCAACTGAGGACAATTGTACCTTTCCCATTGAGTTCAAAACCATCCCCATAATTTAGACTTTCACGGAATGTCATTGGATAGTGCCCCTTGCTTGCATAACTAGTCGAATAACTAGACATGGGCCTGCATGAAGATCATACCAAATAAGGCAAAATGTACAGGGATCAAACCCCAGTCATTTTGACAATTTTACCTTTGTCACCCGTAAGAGACTGTAATATCCCAGCTGAGCAATCCTGAACCTAGCTGTTCAGGAACGACAGCAATCCAGTCCATGGTTCGCGCCTGTGGTTTGTATACACACCACAGCGTCGCTCCAATCGTTCCCATACAATGTCTCAGCTCCGCAGTCCTTAGTCCATTACTCAGGAGCGGAAACAGTTGTATAGTTCCGATAGTGCGCTAGGTCTGCATGTACCTCTGAGCGCTATCCCGTAATTGCCCGGCGATACCTAACCGCTCACGGCTAGCGTGTGTGATCAATAGACTCATCACGACGCTGCCCCAATCATTGCCCTGCAATGAATCAGCCTGGCGCTCATGAGTCCACTACTCAGGAGCGGAAGCAGTTGTATGGTTCCGGTAGCGTGCGAGGTCTGCATATACCTCAGGGCGCTATTCCGTAATTGTCCGGCAATATCTAACCGCTTATGGCTAGCGCACGTGGTCAGTAGACCCTTCACGTCGCTACCCCAATGGTTGCCTTGCAATGACTCAACCTGGTGCTCCCAAGTCCGAGACTCAGGAGCGGCAGCGGTTGTATCCATGGTCAACGCACGATGTGCATATGCACCTGTCGGCGCAGAGCCGGTCATTGACGAGCAAAAGTACAACAGCTTGACTCTCGCCTCATTTACCCAAAATAGTATCACGGAATATTCTAGTCTCCTCCATCTGGCAGTACAATCTAGAAACACTTTCTATACAGTGCTCTATTGTTCCTCTACTCATCATGTAGCCACCTGGAAAGTTCTTCCTTCACCCTCAGTGATCATTACCCTTGTGCATCGTAATCCTAGGCATCACCAGCACAACACACTTGGAAATACGTGGCTGGGTAAGAAATATTGTGCCTAAGGACAAGTCACTAGTCTGTAGATTCACAAGGAAAATTAACTCTTATAAATACCTGTTAGTAGTAGCTAGAGTTTGTTGAAATTGGCACTACTTGGCAATGAAGAGGCGCATTAATACAGAACGTAATAAGGTTCTATTATTACTAGCCACATTCATGACAACTCATACATTGACCAGCCTCCCAATTATTTAGCATAAATAAGTGAATTGTTTCCTTCACTTAGATGTAGTAATTAGTTTAAATAGCGCTCTGATACTAAGTGGCTTTAATCAACAACTCTCCACTATAGTTTTCAGACTCTTCAATCTCCCAACTCGCTCCACTAGGTGTTATGAATCTACTTATTGGCAGATTTTCGAAGCTGTTAAGCTGCAGAGGTCGAGTGGATTTCGACGAAGACAAATTATCAAAGGTTCGAGGTTATGAAGTTACAAAGGTCGAAGGTTGAAGGTCGAAGGTGCGAAGGTATGAATGAAGGTAATCAAGGCTCGGATTATCAAAGTTACGAATTCATATGTTCAGATAATCTTATTATCAAAATATCGAGTTCCCAATAAGCAAATTATACAATAATCGTAAAAAGTAACAAAATTGTTAGAACTAAAGAACAAATCCAAATCTCCAGCCTGAACAAATCCAAATCCCGTAGCCTCAGACCTAACCGAATTAAGATAACCCCTGCATCACCACATCCAGACTAAATATAACAAATTCATAACACTAGGTGATATTAAATACAAGCCTAACAGCTTACGCTTCTCTATACAACTTCCATTACAACAGAGTTAGCTTTTCTCCTCATATAGTTTATTAAATAGATTTATTCATCACCAACTCGGTTTCTGTCACACATAGTAGCCAGACATGCAACTCAAGTAGCATATGCACGGTAAATTTTAACCCCAAAATGATGATACAAATCAAGTTTTATATGCTATGTCCTGTATGGCTAGCGTGGTTGGAATATGGGGAATTTTCCCGTAGATAGATAAAGACGTTGTAACCATCTGATAGTTGGGACAAGTCTTCTACAATACCATATCGGAATCAATCTAGCCTCTCATCAAGCAATCTCATGAATTATTTCCAATGTCTGTGTGAAAGGATGGCACCAGAGTGAATAGCTGTCTGCACGAGTGTATCCAAAATGGGTTTATTTTGTGTCTAATAAGAAAAACTACATACTTGAGAGATCACCCCCTAGATGTTGTCTCGCTTATTGCTGACATAATCAACTCCTAGGAGCCGGAAAAACTCTGGATCCCATCTACAAGGCAATAGCCTGTAACAGTCTGTGATAACAGACATACATAAACAATGTCGACAACAAGTTTAAAGTCAATAAGAATGAAATATTGCTCCGCCACTGCCCGTCGTCATCTTTGCTATCTAGCTGACTCTCTCACTTGGCAATTCTACTTCGCTGTCTCACATTCCTTCCTAGCTCCAATGTAATGTGGCCAAGTGGAACTTAGTCGCTTGATACAAGATAATATGTTCCACTCTCCCTAATACGCCCCCAAACTCCACTTAGGTCTCCACCTAAGCTAAACCACGGCCAAACTGTAACAGCCGGTCACTGATTAGCAATATCACAACACCCTCTTGTATTAATTTGATGATGAGGGGGTGATATTATTGTTGAATGACCTAATGACTTAATGACTTAATGACCTTTCATGTATTATCTTGGAAATGATGACTAATTATGTTGATGAGTAACGAGTTGTCTGTTTAGGAATGGCGTCAGGAGAGAGAGACAACTGCTGTTTATACGTGTTTCCTTTAGTTAGTGTCAAACTCGAGGGTACCAGGGGTTGTGTTTTATAGATAACTTAGAAGTGCGAGTGATATCTGACAAGATTTGTCATAGACTAAGGTATTAATTCGGGATTCTAGCTATAACTGAGGACAAGGGACAAGAGAAACTAGGACAAGAGACAAGGTCAATGGAAGACGGAAAACAAGACGTGGCCCTCTACATCGGCTCTACCCAACCCATATATACATCATAGTAACCAGAGCAACTAAGGCTTCAAGGGGTGCGCCTGCTGCTATTCTATTACTTCATTTGTAACCCATAGCAACCATTGTAACCCGGTAAACGCTCTAAGATGAGAGAATATTCCGATGTAGTGTAGTGAAAGAATATGAGGGTGCTGCTCTATCCTCAGTTCCTGACAGTTAGAATTCAAGAAATAGAAGATATATGTTAACCACCAATTGTTATTACTGCTATAGAAAGCTTGTGATATTAATACCACCCGAGTTTTCCAACAGTTATTGTCAATTTCTACTACCACAACGTAGGAATCATGACGTCTTTACTCGACAAGATGTTATTCACGAACTATCTAGATCTAGGTACAAAAGAGAATCTTAAACTGGAGAGGAAAAATATCTGGAGGAAACTCACTATTTAATAAATCTAGCTTTATGCTAAGATTACAAGTTATGTAAAGGAAGTGAATGAATTGAGGAAACAAGATGTGAGGTGTGCTCCTTGCCCAACTGCTCGGCTTCTCTGATACCGACCCTAGCCTAGCTCCTATTCCTTTCCAAGTCCGAACCTAGATGTGTGTAGGTCCTACTATTTAGCATGTAGGGTATCAGGGTCTTCCCCCTTATTCTTCAGCCCTATATCATATCATTCCTTCCGTAATCAGATTCCTAAGGCTTATGCCTAAATTGTATTAGGCTCTATCCTATGACATTTTCCAACTTGTAGCTGTATGGGAAAGAATCCGCAAAATCATGGTCACCAGATGTATCTTCAGGATCTATTGAGTTGATAAGATAAGTCCCTCGGTTCCCTGGCCTCCCCATGTGCTGCGGTTGTTTTTTATTCCTATTTTTGTCCATGAGGGCCGAAAATCTCTTCTTGAAGTTACCATACTTGTCTTTACCGGTATCTTGCTTATAATACTGAGGTACTTGCTTTGTATAATTATTCTTTGGGCATTCTGTAGCCCAGTGTTCAATTTTTTTACAAATGGCACAACTACTGTTGTGTTCCGGGAAAGAGTTCTCAAGTTTAACTGATGTGAAGTCAGCTTTCTCTTGAATTGGGAATACTTAAGGCTGTTTCAGCCTTGGGTTCGATATCATGAGCTTAGACGATGGCTTTGTATCAGCGCCAACGCAAAGTTTTGCTTGCGCTGGGGATTTTGAGATCCGGGTCACTATTTGAACAAGTAGTTTTACACCATCACTATTTGATCTTCCTACCATCATTGGCTGGAGATGTGTACATATATGCGGCAAGTAGGTCTTTGTGATGTTGGATATGGTATCACGAGTAGTATTGCTTCCTCTGTCTTGCTTGGATAGGCAGTAGTAGCATTCGCGGATTCGGATGGTGAAAGAGTTAACGTCTTCTCCATCTCTGGCAGCGAGGCAGGAGAAGATGTTTCTGGGACTATGTAGGACGTCTAGTTGCTGCATTGTTTTGAAGAATGCTTCCAGTAGCAGGGGCCAATTAGTTGCCGGATTTTCCTCGGCCCAAACGCGTGTACATTGGAAGTCCTCTTTCATGTCTAAGCAAAGCTGTTGTGGCCAGTACCAGTACGGGACTAAGGCAATTCTAAAATCTGACTGAATTTCAGCGAGCCTGGAAAATAGAGTAGAATTAACCTTATCCAGGTGAAGTTCCGGTCTAATTATCACCTTGTTTTTGATGCTGGTATATGCCTCGTGATTTATCTCATGAGCGAGAAGTGGTTGAGGCCAAGCTTCTATGACAAATTTTTTGCCAGGTATTAAAGCAAAGAAATCGGGCTCCGGTTTAGAGGTGACATTTGTGCTGTCAACCGGTTTGTATGTGTGCGGCCTTGCCAGGACTTTAACTTTTTCAGGTTGGATTTCCGAATTGGAGGATTCAGACATTGTGAGCTTACTGTGTTATTTTCTTGCCTTGATTACTTTGAGACTTATCTTTACCTCGTTCATTGTTATTTCCATACAGTCCATCCTTTCGGCCATTTTTTTGCTTTGTTCTGAAGGGTTCATGGCAGTATCCATTTGCAAACCTAATAAGCTTTCGAGTTTTTCTAGTTGGTTTTTGACCCTATTGTTGAACTCGCTTTTCTGGTCAATATATTTGCAAACATTTTTTTCAGCGCCTGCAATTATTACTAGCTCGCTCCTTTCAGACATGGTGAGTAATTTGATGGGGGGGTTTTTTTTTCGAAACCTTGGAAATGAGGTTTACTCTTCAAAAATACATTTTTGAGGTTGCCAAACGCGGGTTGTATACTTAGTAAAGGGTGTGGTGGGCGTTAGAATGAAAGGTTATCCTGCGGTGATCTGTGGCTCCTAACTACAACAGATCTTGTAAAGTGTTTTACTTGGTATATGAAATGGGAATTTACAGTTGCGCTGGAACAGCTAAGACAGTAAGTGGAGAGATGTCTTCATTAATGTGCAGAAGTGAAGTGATCATGATAATTACTATGTTACAGATTGGGGGAAGCTCGTCCCTTATCTCTTAGCTTGTTTGGTTGTAGACCAATCACGTTATCAGTATGCAGCTCACCAAAGTGTGCAACCATCTGAGCAGCCATGCCATTTGTCCTATATCAACAACCCATCTCTCATAATGCACACATTACTACATGTAATGTCGTTATGTAGAGACTGGATCTCCTCCATGCGCCATAACGCCATGCTGCCATAATAACTACCTATGCACCAGCTACTAGATCTACCATCTTACTTAGCTGATCATAACATGTAGAACTTGAGACTTATACGTGAATTCTATATCCTTCAAGTTTAAGATGTTCATATGTGTTACGGTTTGACCGTTGTTTTAGCTTAGGAGGAAACCTAAGCGTTTAATTAGGAATAATTACGATAAGACTGAAAGAGGAAGGATGGGCAAATAGAGATGAAATAGCACTACTAGCCAGGAGGTCGAAGCAACATCATAGCGTAATGGCTCCTGATAATGCTTGGCTCAGTAGCAAGTATTAGGCCTAGGGGGAAGTTATCAGTCAGCAGATTCACGAAGCGGACGAAACGTTATAAGTACCTGTTAGTAGTAGCTAGAGATTTCTTTCCTCTTCATATAGTTTAATAAATCGATTTATTCATTACCAACTCGGTTTCCGTCACAATTTAAACTATATCACACATTCTCTGCCCGTCATTAAGTATATCGCAGCCTTAGATAACTGTGACTTAGGGCATCCTTAATTATTGGTTTTAACGCACAGGGATTCGAAGAATCAACAATGGGTTCAAATATGAACAATTTTAACATCGGAACGGACTCTATGGCAACTGGTTTATCGAACCAGGAATCAATGCCACATGGAGAAATACATTCGGAAATGCAGCGACTGGTCGAAGAAATGAAATTAAGGGAAATGGAACACAGAAGAGGTCTGGGGATGCTACAATCTCAATTGAAGGAAATGATGGAAACGATGCAGGAACGGTCCGAGGCTAACAAAAATTTACCCCTACAACCAATAAGAGCTAATGTGGGAGGCCAATCAGAATGCAGAGAATGTTTCATAGAAGAGGAACCACTTAAATGGCCAGAAGCATACGACCATAAGGATAGAACTAAGTGGGCAATTACGCATGGAATACTTCAGTACATATATAGGCGTGATGTAGAGGAGCGATGTATTCTTCAACCATCTGACTTTTTAATGCAACTATTTAGTCATGCAGTAACTGGAACAGCGAAAGATATGATTACAGGTCAGTTTCAAAATATGCTTGCAAATGGCATGGAATGGGATGCGCTAGGGCTGTTACGGGCTATGGATAATACCTATTGCAATAGAAACGAGGAACAATTGGCGGCCGCACTATTTCATGCATGTCGACAATTCCGGGACGAGAACCTATTGTCATATCTACCGCGCTTCCAACAATTACTTTCACGAAGCCCCAGTTCGAAAGGGAATGAGAAATGCAAGATTTACCAGTTACGGAACTCTCTGAATAAGACAACTAGGAATTACATGATTGGTGGTGTGCATCCTAAAACACTTAGAGAATTAATTGATTACCTGTCGATCCTAGGTTCTGAAATTGACGAGGTTGGTATAGAAATTACAAGGGAATACCTACTAGGTCAGACTGGGTACTTCGACGACGGAACACGAGGCGTAGCTGGGGGAAAACTACTAGGGGGAATCTCACAAGAGATAACTCGCCACCTTCCAGCTAGAGCCAGCTTACACAGTGAAGTTGTAGATATTGACACAAGGATGACCGGTATCGAGAAAGTCCGTGCAAAGTGGGTATCACGTGACGATTTGAATGGGCGCAAAATTGATGGATCATGCTTGCGATGTGGGAAGAAAGGTCACGTTATAGCTAACTGTCGACTGCTACCAGCTAAGCATCCTGAAATATTTGTTCAAGCAGCAACATTTGTAGAGGATATTGCAGATAATGTCAAGGCCAAAGTTGCGAAAGGCAAGGTGTCAAAAGAATTAGCTCCCAAATCAAAATATGTCCAGGGACAAGGAAACGGTGCTATAAATATGGTCACTAGCTCAAAGTTAATTGAAGATAAGGAAGCCGAGAGCTCTATGAATGGGTCTTCTTTCATTATAGACGCTGTTATCAATGGAATATATTCAATTCCTACCCTAATTGACAACGGATGCGAATGTCTAGCTGCGGTTAGTAGTTCCTTCGTACTTAAAGCTAAGATACCTAGAATAAAAATAACTCCACGAAGGCTTACTGAAGCTACGAAGAATCGGAATGATAATGATTCTATAACAGAAATGGTCAGAATGGAACTTGATATTGATGGATATCAGCGTACCTTATATGCGTACGTGATACCAGATCTATCTCATGATCTAATACTCGGAAAACCATGGATGGAACGAGAAGATGTTATCTATAATGCAAGGGAACATTTTATGGATATTGGAGAAGCTATTGTGGATGATCGACCACTGAGAGTATGGGAAAAGGGTCAAAAAGAAAATATTGATTCGTCTTACCTGACAGCAAATATCAAAAGTTTGTCGGCAGGAGTATTCCTTGCAACAGTTAGAAAGGCTAGGAAGTCAAGGGCTGGCACAACCCAGATATTTTCTGTAACACTTGCAGATATTCAGAAAGCACTTGCACCTTCAAAGAAGTCACCGACAAATTTGGATAGGCTTCCAGATCACTGTAAAGAATTTGCGGACCTTTTTCGGAAAGAGATAACAGACAAACTTCCGCCTCATCGCCAAGGAGGTGATCATGAGATAAGGCTCGAGTCTGATAAAAAAATACCATGGGGACCCCTGTATGGAATGTCAAGGGATGAATTATTGGTACTGAGAAAGACCTTAACAGATCTACTTGACAAAGAGTATATTTGCGCAAGTAGTTCGCCAGCAGGGGCCCCAGTACTTTTTGTTCGGAAACCAGGTGGAGGTCTGCGATTTTGTGTTGACTATCGTGCCTTGAACGCTATTTCAAAGGCTGATCGCTACCCGCTTCCGTTAATTAAAGAGACACTAGCCAAACTGAGTAAAGCTAAATGGTTCACTAAGCTAGACGTACGATCTGCGTTTCATAAGTTGCGCATCAAGGAAGGCGACAAATGGAAAACAGCTTTCCGAACTCGATTTGGATTATTCGAGTGGCTTGTCATGCCATTTGGACTGAATGGAGCTCCGGCATCTTTCCAGAGATATATTAACGAAGCTTTGCGTGAGTACCTCGACAATTTTTGTTCGGCTTATGTGGATGACGTACTTGTCTTCACCAACGGAGATGAAAAGGATCATCAAAGGCACGTGCGGCTAGTACTTGAAAAGCTTAATAAAGCTGGATTGGGATTAGATATTGACAAGTGCGAATTTAGTGTTAAAGAAACTAAATACTTGGGCTTTATCATATCTTCGGATGGTGAGAATTCTTCAGTCAAGATGGACCCAGCAAAGATCAAGGCAATATCAGAATGGGAGGCGCCTACAACGACAAAGGGGCTAAGAGGATTCCTAGGGTTTGCCAATTTCTATCGTGGCTTTATCAAGGGGTTTTCAAGGATCTGTGCCCCCTTAACATCTCTAACAGGCAAAGGTACACCCTGGAAGTGGGGCGCTGAACAAAATGAAGCATTCGAATTGCTAAAGGAAAAGTTTGTAGCAGAGCCTGCTCTAGCTCAATGGGATCCTAATCGCGAAACAATGTTGGAGGCGGACTGCTCCGGTTATGCGCTTGGTGGATGCTTGTTACAGAAGCAAGAAAATACCACATGGAAACCAGTGGCATACTATTCTCGGAAGCTGAGTGGAGCAGAAATGAATTATGAGATTCATGACAAAGAACTTCTAGCCATTGTAGCTAGTATGAAGGAATGGGATGCAGAGCTGAGGGGTCTAGCGCATGCTTTCACTATCTTAAGTGACCACATGAACCTAAAATATTTCCTCACCACAAGACGGTTGACAGAGCGGCAAACCCGATGGGCTGAATTCCTATCGAGATTCAGGTACACACTGGTGTATAGAAAAGGGGTAGATAGCGAACGTCCGGATGCACTCTCAAGAAGGGACCAGGATAGACCAGTGGAAGGCGACCCTCGACTTTTGAGCCGCGAACGCCAAGTTTTAAACCCAATTAACGCTTCAAGGTTGTGTATAAATGGTACTTTTATTGCAGAAGGCCATGAAATATTTGTCAATAAAGACTTACAGGAGCTTTGGGATCAAGCAGTAGAAAGCGACAAAACATATATTAAAGTAGTAAATGCGGTGCAAAGCGGAGAGCGTACGTGGCCCAAGGACCTCAAGTTACAAATAGAAGGTTCGGAAGAGGCTAGTCAAATCAAAGCAACGATCGCTGCATGCGAATTTGACGAAGCTATGGGAGTAGTTAGGTATCAAGGGCGAATATGGGTACCTCTTTTTGAGCCTCTTACAACAGCCCTTATACAGAACATTCATGACTCAGCCGTCGCTGGTCATCCTGGAAGAGATGCAACGCTTGCCCATGTCGCACGAGAATATTTTTGGCCTGGAATAAGCAAATCAGTCAAGCGCTTCTGTAAAAATTGCCATGTGTGTGGAAGATCATCAATCTGGCGACATCAGAAAAAAGGACTTCTTAAGCCACTGCCAGTACCCGATAGATTTCATCAAGAGCTTTCTATAGACTTCATGGTAGAATTACCAAACTCA